GATTCTAATGTGCAGCCAAGGTTGAGAACCACTGGTCTACACCATTCATTTAATAGCTGTTTTGCTCAGCTGTTTTCTGCAGTCCCTGACCTGGGCAGAAGTAGCGATTTCAGATGTTCTGATGGAAAGTTTAGGCAAGCTGAGACCCTCCTTCCTCCACACTTTCCAGGTTTCGAAACACTGATTCCCTGCAGTAACCCCCAGAATCCTGCCTGCAATTCCTAGAGGGCTTCTGTTTTCTTGATGCATCTTCTGCTAGTCTGGAAATTCCATAGTCCCTTAGCTCCTTTATTGGAGGGACATCATGGTCTCGCTCTATGTGAACTAGGACAGGACAGACATGTTCTCTGGCTTGAAGTTTTGTATCCTAGAAGTTGGCAGGCAATCAGCTGTGTAACCACACATGATGGGTGACCTCTGCATACTTGCTCTGATACTCTGGAAATGGCAAAGACAGGGCTCTGTTATATTTTATTTTGTTTCTTTTACTTTTATAAAATTTATTTTTATTGTTGAAAGTAGTATAGATGTCTTATTTTTTGCCCTCCCCCCACACTGACCTCCTTCACCCTGTTCCAGCCTCCATCTAGAAGACCTTTACTACACTATTGTCTATGACCATGGATTAGGCATATATGCATATTAGTTCTTTGGTTAGCTCTTCCCTTTCCACTCTCCCGCTTCCCTCTGAGGTACGTCATTCTGTTCCATGCTTCTATGTCTCTGTATCTATTTTGTTCACTAGATTCCACATCTAAGTGAGATCATGTGATACTTGTCTTTCTCTGACTGAATTACTTTGCTTAGCATAATACTCTCCAGGTCCTTCCTTGCTGTCTCAATGGATGAGAGATACTTCTTTTGTATAGTTGCATAGTATTCCATTAACTAAGGCACAGGCAGCACTATGGAATTCTAGGGGAATGTTGACTTCTGAGGCCTGGAGATGTATGGTTGACAAATGTGAAATATTTGGGACATCCAGGAGCTAACATCCTGGGGGCTTCTGTTTTCTTGATGCATCTTCTGCTAGTCTGGAAATTCCATAGTCCCTTAGCTCCTTTATTGGAGGGACATCATGGTCTCGCTCTATGTGAACTAGGACAGGACAGACATGTTCTCTGGCTTGAAGTTCTGTATCCTAGAAGTTGGCAGGCAATCAGCTGTGTAACCACACATGATGGGTGACCTCTGCATACGTGCTCTGATGCTCTTGAAATGGCAGAGACAGGGCTCTGTTATATTTTATTTTGTTTCTTTTACTTTTATAAAATTTATTTTTATTGTTGAAAGTATTATAGATGTCTTATTTTGCAGCCCCCCTCCACACACACTGACCCCCTTCACCCCGTTCCAGCCTCCACCTAGACCTTCACTACACTATTGTCTATGACCATGGATTAGGCATATATGCATATTAGTTCTTTGGTTAGCTCTTCCCTTTCCACTCTCCCCCCTTCCCTCTGAGGTATGTCATTCTGCTCCATGCTTCTATGTCTCTGTATCTATTTTGTTCACTAGATTCCACATGTAAGTGAGATCATGTGATACTTGTCTTTCTCTGACTGAATTACTTTGCTTAGCATAATACTCTCCAGGTCCTTCCTTGCTGTCTCAATGGATGAGAGATACTTCTTTTGTATAGTTGCATAGTATTCCATTAACTAAGGCACAGGCAGCACTATGGAATTCTAGGGGAATGTTGACTTCTGAGGCCTGGAGATGTATGGTTGACAAATGTGAAATATTTGGGACATCCAGGAGCTGCAACATCCTGGCTATAAAACCATATATGGAGCATTTTATCTTCTGTAAAATGGACACACAATGTCTACCATGCATTAGCACACACAACGTGGACAATCAATCTACCACAGCAGGAGTTCCTGCCATGTGCTAGGAATTGCAAGGTGCTGGCAGAGCTGGGAGGATAGTCAGGAAAGCTCAGGCTGAGCTCAGCAGGGCAGGGAGGATGTTGCAAAAGAAGTTAGCCCTATACTGGCAACTTGCTAAGGCCCCCTCCCTCTCCTGTGACATCCTCAGCTGGGGCAGGGAGGTTTGAGTACAGAAAGCCATTGATCCTGCAGGGCTGTGTCTAAGCTGCTGGCACAGAGATACACAGCTGAGTCTCCCAGTTGCAAGGCGCTCAGGGTCAGCTCAGAGCTGTAGTCACTGGACTGTTTTCCTGAGAACCGATCAGGGATGCTCCCTTTTTCTCTCTCCTCCTTTTCAAAATATTCAACGAGGAACTGAGGGCCATGTCCCAGAGTCTGCTGGTACCAGTACACACTTCTGTGTCCGGAGATGGGGTGGCACTTCAGAATGACCATCCCCCCTTGGCCTTTGATTACATGTCTTGGGGACTGGGTAACTCCAGCAGCCACTGAACCTGTGGAGGAAGCAGACAGAAGCTGGAGACCAGCACAGGAAGGACATGGACAGGCAGTGACAGTTAAGAACTTTGGGTTCAAGGATGTCCCACCTGAACTTAGGACTCACCTGCCCCCAGGAGACAGAGGGCCAAGCAGCAGAGGAGCTGAGGGCCCCTGGAAGATTTGGACAGGATAAGACTGGCCATCTCCCAGCTCTGGGCTCTGGTGCTTAGGGTGAGAGAGCAGAGGCTTTGCCCCTCCCTTTGCTCTGAGTGGAGGGCTTGCCTGTGATGTCACTGTCCTTGTAGGCTCCACAGGCACCTTGCACCTCCTGGACAGGCTCAGCTGCTCCAGGCATTCCTCATTCTGTCCATCTTCCTATGAACAGGTGCTACTGGCTGTGCTGAGCTGTCCAGGCAGGGTTTGGGCCTGTGGTCATCCCCACAGCTTCTCTGTTTCCTAGAAGCAGGTGCTCCTTGCTCTATACCTGACTTGAATTATCCAGGCTACCCCACAGAAGGAAGCTCCCTCACACTCTCCACCAAACATAGGCTCCAAGAGAAGCCTTACCTCCAGACAAGCCAAGCTCGTGGCTTCCTGCTGTGACCAACACACCTGCATAGCAGTTAGTGTGAGAAGATATGATCAGCAAACCTGATTCATCAGATAGTCTCCCTGATGTAGGGACCAAGCCAAGACTCCCTTAACCCTCCCTCTCCCACAGGACCCCTTCAGCAGCTCACTCAGTGGATACACAGCGCCCCCACGCGGCCACTTGTGCAGTAGCGGTGTTGACAGTGCCCAGGCTGGCTGGGTTCTGTCTAAATTAGGCCTCAGGATTGGTCGGGACCCTGCACTGTTCCTGCTGATATGATGTTTGCCTGTTTCAAGTTCACTCTTTCCAGGTGGTAGTGAAGATGGCGTGATGCATATTTCCAAAAAGGGAATAAAATTCTAAATATCATCAATGAGTGTTCTAGGACGGAGGACACCATGCATTTGCTGCCCTGGGAAGGGGTAGAGGGACCTTGGGCAAAGTGCTGTCTTTAACCAAAGGTAATTCTTGGGCAGGGTAGACCATGGGGTTCTAGCTGCCAAAAATGCTCCTACACAGCTGAAAATAAACCCTCTATGAAGTGCCTACTTATAGATCCTTTTTTGGGGGGCGGGGCAGGGGTGGAGGTGAGATCACCCTATTCAACTCTTTAATCTTTTTAAAATTGAATTACTCACCTTTAAAAATTATTCATTTGTAGGAATTATTTTTATTTTTTATACATGCCCTTCCTCAGATATATATTTTTTCTTGATTTCTTTTGATGAACAGGATTTCAAAATATTTGTAAAGAAAAATGTGCTTTTTAAAGATTAGAATATTTTTTGTTCTCTCTATGAAATCTTTGCTACTCCAAGGTCATGAAAAGAATTTGCTCTGCTTTTTTTTCAGAAGCTTTATATGTCATAATGAATGCTGACCCATCTCATATGAAAGTTTGCAAAATCAGCAAAAGTCTTCTGTAAATATTTCCGGTTTTCTGTCCCAGCTGCTCAGCTCTGCCACAGCTGTGCCAAAGCAGCCAGAGACACTGTGTACGTGAGGGAGCGAGGCTGTGCTCCAATAAACTTCCTGTATGGATACCAAAATCTGAATTTTACAGAAATTTTGTATGTCACAAATACTGGATTTTAATCTTTCTCAACCACTTAAAAATGTAAACACCATTGGTTAGCTTCTGGGCCCTATAAGATGGAGTGAGGTAGGATTAAAAATCATTATTTTCCCATATGCACCACTGATTATTTTTCCAGCACCATTGTTGAAATGACTATTTCACTCCTTTTGTGCTACTTTTAATGTTTGGTCTAGGGATTACAATATGCATGTTTAACTGACCATACTGTACCTGCAAAAATGTCCATTAACCATAAATTTTTTCATACATGCCCTTGATTAGGGGGACTTTTTTCAATTACTTCCAATTTACTGAATTTTTATCAGGAATTGATGTTGGCTTTAATCAAATGTTTTTAAGAATTTATAGAGATGATCATGTGATTTTTTTAATATTTGAGTACATCGACATATTTTTTAATATTAAACTAACTGCACTTTAGTGAGATAAGCCCCACTTGATTATGATGTGTGTTACCCTCTGTAGATGTCATTGCATTTTGATATACTGAATTCTAAAAGGATTGTTAATCTGTGTCCATGAGGTATATTGGTCTGTAGGTTTTTGTTTAGTGTTGTTTTGGTAATTTCTCGGTCTCATTTGAGTAGCATAGCAGTGCTGGCCTCAGGATGAGTAGGGAATTATTCCTGAGTTTTCGGGTTCCTCAGTAGGTACTTCATTAGTGGCATCCTACAAATTTTGATATATTTTCATTAAGTTAAAATCCCTTTATAATTTCCATTTTGATTTGCTCTTAGCCTCATGCGTTATTTAGAGGATTGCTATTTCGTTTCCAAATATTTGGAATTTTTCCAGATCTCTTTCTGTTATTGATATCTAATTGAATTCCTCTGTGGTTGAGAGAACATGCTTTGTATGACTTGAATTCTGTTAAATGTGTCAATACTTATTTTATACCCAAAGTCTATAGCATTCTGGTCCATGGTCCATGAGCACTCGATAGAATATGTATTCTGCTGCTATTGGGTGAACTGTAAATATCCGTTAGGTTGGGGTGATCATTAATGTTGTTTATGTCTTCTATATCCTCACTGATTTTATTGGGGGCGGTCATGATGTTCAATCAATTACGACAAGTGGCCCTAGCTCAATTGCCTCAGTGGATAGAGTATTGCCCCAAGAACTAAAGGGTCCTGGGTTTGATTCCAGTCAAGGGCATGTACCTCGGTTGCAGGCTCGATTCCTGGCATCCAGTATGGGTGTGTGCAGGAGGCAATCAAGAGATGTGTCTCTCAGCAGCACTTGACAGTTGAGGACTAAAATGCTGACTTTATCACCTTCACTCTGAGCTCTCCTATTTCTAACCTTCATCCTGCATTTTCTTGGTCCTTCCCAGGATTTGGGCAGCACCAGGATATGTGGGAAGGAAAAGGTGGGAAAGATGGTAGAATTGTCAGGTCTTTGCTCTTTGCCCTGAAAGCAGTTTGAATTCACAGTTCAAAGCTGCTGGGGATGAAATGGTGCCTCTGGTGGGTACTGATCTAAGTTGGTTAGGTTCTTCTATTAACTTTAAAGGTCAAACAATACCCTCTATTATTAATTCATTTATATACATATTGACTTTTGCCCTCAACTCCTTATCACAATACCTCTTGTATTTACAAGTCAGTTCTAAAGTAAATAAATGTCCCCAAATTACAAGAGGGTGGAGGCTCTGACCCCTCATTCTAGGTCCAGCCTGTGAATCATCAATCCCCTTTATCTGAAAAGGAAGGTAAATGAGCGCCCTCTAGGGCCTGCATTTCCAAACTCAGTAGAAACAAGTAACATTTCCACAGGCTCTAGACTTGCTCAGTTTGTGTTTTTAATTCAAGTGGCAGTAGAATTACAATGTTGGTTGTGGTGTCAACACAGGGTTGATGAACACGTCATAGCTTTCTCAAATAAGGTTCCCACAAAGAAGTGGGAAGAAATGCTGTTGTCTCAGGAAGATATTCTCACTCCAGTACTTTTAGGGTTCTACTCTTTGAAATAAGAGTCTATTTTCAGTCTTTGCTAACTGACAGCAACAGTGGGGAGTGTGTGTCCGGGGTCCGAGGTCTGGTCTGGGCCTGGCAGACACTGCCCTGCAGGTGGACCTCAGCACACACTGAAGTTCATCCTGCAGGCACAGGCCACTGGGGGTTCCATGGTTTGTTAGTTTGCATAGGGCTCTGTGGAGTCAGTATTCAGGGCCCCATCCCTACCTTTTTGTGTAGAGAGGAGTCAGCCATGAACCACTATGGATTCACGGCTGGCACAGAAATACACAGATGTCTGAGAGGAGGTGGCTGAGTCCAGTGTGAGGGCAAAGTTCTCTGTATTTGATCTAGTGACACTGTACCCATCAGAGACTGCTCCTTTTTCAATGCTGCCAACACCATATGAGTACTGGATCAGACTCAGCCCATGGCCCAGGTCTTGGCGATACCAGTACATAACGGTTTGGTTATCTGTCTGGTGACACCTGAGAGCCACCTTCTTTTCTTTCCCTGTGACCTTGTATGTTGGGCTCTAGGTGATTCAGGCATCCAGGTGTCCTGTAAAGAGAGAGCCACAGGCATGATGCTGTCATCCTAAGATGAAGGCTTTGGCTGAGGACTTGGGAATCTAGTGCAGGTCAGCCCATGGCCCAGGTCTTGGCGATACCAGTACATAATGGTTTGGTTATCTGTCTGGTGACACCTGAGAGTTACCTTCTTTTCTTTCCCTGTGACCTTGTATATTGGGCTCTAGGTGATTCAGCATCCAGGTGTCCTGTAAAGAGAGAGCCACATTCATGATGCTGTCATTCTAAGATGAAGGCTTTGGCTGAGGTCTTGGGAATCTAGTGCAGGTAGCCCACCTGTACTCACCTGCCCACAGGAGACAAAGAGCCACCCAGAAGAAGAGCCTGGTGACCATTTCAGATCCAGGGCAGAATCTCATGTCTTTCTGTTCTCTTTTGAGGAAATAGACTCAGTGATGTCACTGTCCTTGACAAATGCTTTTTCTGCAGAACTAACCTGCCACACCCCTTCCCCACTAGAACAAATCAATGACCCTCTCAGTCACAGGAACCACCTGATGTCCAGGAAGTTTTCAAAGCTTTAAGGTCAGGGTCATTGGAATCTGAAGACTTGTTTTGCTTTGTCTCACAATTCACTGACTGATGGGAGCCCCACCTTTCGTGTTCAGATCCCTGTGGTCTCCCTTGGTTTTAGCTGAAGCCACAGAAAACTGTTTCACCTAAGTCCCCATGACAGTGCTTTTTGTTAAAGAGAGAGTAGGCTTGTTAGCCAGGTGAAAGAGATATTCAGCCAGAGGTACACATTTCTGATGCTTGCAGAATCACAAGAAAATGTTCTGTTTCCATTCAGAGGTCTTGCACACACCCCCGCTCCTCCCCCCGACAGTATGGGAGAATATTGATTAAATCCTAAATGAGCTACAGTGCCACGCTTGCAACTAGTCAATATCAGTTGGAGCTGCTATTGCTTATACAGGTTATATCTCAGGGTGAGGTGTCCCCATTTCTGTGACTGCATATATTG